CATAAAAAAAGAAAGGAGGGGAGATAAGGACGATAGATGTTTGATAGAAAAGAAGGAGCAAACCACACCAGAGTACCCGCCAACCACCCACGATTTGTAGTTTAAAAGTGACACATTCCGATGGATGTTAGTTGAAGGAAAGAAGGAGCAAACCACACCAGAGTACCCGCCAACCACCCACGATTTGTAGTTTAAAAGTGACACATTCCGACGGATGTTAGTTGAAGGAAAGAAGGAGCAAACCTCGGCAAACGACACGTGCTAAAATTATAAGTAAAAAACAACAACCGGTTTTGGTAACAGTTTTGCGGTACTTATAACCAACAAATAGATCATATAAATGCCGAGGATTAGAGATGTGCTTGCGGGTGGTTGGCGGGTGCTCTGGTGTGGTTTGCTCCTTCTTTCCTATCAAACGTCTATCGTCCTTATCTCTCCTCCTTTTTTGTGTATGCTACTCTCTTGTAACACATCAAGTCTGCGGCACTGTTTGAAGATTAGAGGTGTTACAAGGGAGTAACGAACACAAAAAGAAGAAGGAGAGATCAGGACGATAGATGTTTCATAAGAAAGAAGGAGCAAGCCACACCAGAGCACCCGCCAACCACCCACACCCTGAGTAGGCCTTGGTAATTAGTCTGCCGTCATTGGTAAAAGTACAGAAGTACAAGGAAATTTTACAATTTTACAGAAGACAGAAAAAAACCCCGAATGACGTCACCAAGAAAACACACTGTTTGCAAACATCCCAAGGAAATTTTTTCATTTTATTTTTGGTAAGTGTTTTACGGCGCTCGCAACTGCATAAGGTCACATTAGCGCGCGGGACACACCAAACATTTTCAGTTGGTAGGAAATTTTGAATTTTCCCCGGGTGGCGACCGAAGCCTGCTCTTATCGATTCTGGACCACCAAGGGATCTTTAACGCGCGCAACTTGCACACAGGACCTTTGACATTTTTCGACAGGGGTTTGGTTGAAAGACAGCAGTAAGGAGGAGCCAAGGAGAAGCAGTAGAAAGGCTGCAGAAAGAGTCAGGAGCCCAGAGGAGGGGGCTAAAGAGATGAGGGGAGGTGGGCAGAAAATGGAGAAGAAAGCAGAAGACAGAACATTGTTAGAGGACAAGAAATCAATTTAAGATTACAATTATTATGACGACTCCCTTACCACAGGCAAGCAGTGAGAGCTGCCGCGATCACAAAAATCCCTAAGTAACGGCAGTGACCAGAGATTCTCACTCTTTAACCCTTACGAGCCTGATCCTGATCGTACCTGGAATGTGGGTGGTTGGCAGGACGTGCTCTGGTGCGGTTTGCTTCTTCTTTCCTATCAAACGTCTATTGTCTTTATCTCTCCTTCTTTTTTGTGTTTGTTACTCTCTTGTAACACCTCTAATCTTGGGCACTTATATGACCTTATTGTGTTGCAAGTGTCGTAAAAAAACTCTTACTAAAACTGAGTACTTGGATACCTGGAGGTGTCTTCTCTGACTCAGAGGTTGATCTGTCATGACTCTACAGCCCTGTGGCTCGCGAGCTGCCGTTGCACATTTTGCTATACAAAGGCCAGTCCATGTCTTTCATGCTGTCCATCCATGTCTTTCATGCTGTCCATCCATGTCTTTCATGCTGTTCATCCATGTCTTTCATGCTGTTCATCCATGTCTTTCATGCTGTCCATCCATGTCTTTCATGCTGTCCATCCATGTTGCTCTTTACTTTGTCTACCCTGGCTGTCCTGCCCCACATCCTTCCTTCAAGCACGTCTTTCACAATGGTCTCGCGCCATATTAAGTGGACAAAGTTTTGTATTTTACTCCATTTTATTTTCCTCAATATAGTCATTTTTTAGTAAGTGTTTTACGGCGCTCGCAACTACATAAGGTCATATAGGCGCGAGGGACACACTAAACTTTTTCATTTGGTAGGAAATTTTAAATTTTGCCCGGGTGGCGGCCGAAGCCTACTCTTATCGATTTTGGACCACAAAGGGATCTTTGGTGAAATGGTGAAATGATATGGGTTTAACGCCCCTATCACAAGGGATCTTTAACGTGCGCAACTTGCACACGAGCCCTCCGAGATTTTCAGCCCTGGTCGGAGAAGGTTAGGTGTAGATCTTTCCTACCAGAAGATCAGGGGTGTGGCTGAAAGACAGCAGTAAGAAGGAGCCAAAGAGAAGCAGTGGAAAGGCTGCAGAAAGAGTCAGGAGCCCAGAGGAGAGGCAAAGGAGGTGAGGGGGAGGAGGCAGTTGAGTGGTTGATTATTGTGTTAAAGAAATAGCGAATTTTGAAATGGCACATGGAAATAATATGTGACATTAATGGGCTTCACTCCTATTTCAGACAGGTCAATTGTCTTGGGTCTGTTTCTCGACAGCAAGGTCTAGTCTCTCTAAATGTTTTAGTAAGAGTTTTACGGTACTTGCAACACAATAAGGTCAAATAAGTCCCGCAGAATAGAGGTGTTAAAAGAGAATGACAAACACAAACAAGAAGGAGGAAAGATAAGGGTGCTAGATGTTTGATAGCAGAGCAACCACCAACCACCCGCAACGTCTAGTCTGATAGAAGACATTGAATTATGATTCGCGAAGGATAATCATTTTCTGATATCACTGTTTCAGGATACGGTGGAATCAGGCGCCCACCAATACTTAGGCACAGCAGTTCTTTGTATAATCTTAGAGACTGTTTATTTGTCTGGTGTTTTTATTCAAAACTACAGATCTATCTCGAAGACAAGCAATTTTTTCGGACACACAATGTGGAAAGAAGCATTGGAGATTATTGTAACAACAGGCAAGCTTGATAGAAAGAGGCAGAGGCAGACAGAGGGAAAAGATACTGGACAAGGTGACAACATGGCTAGGAGCAGCAAGAACAACAGACACCATTGCTGCAACGCAAGACAGAGTGAAGTGGAGGTCCATGATCACCCTCGCCAGTTGGCAAGGCACCGGATGATGATGATGATGATGATGATCTCGAATACAAGTCGAAATATTTGCGATTGAAGGATTCCCCGAGAGGACCGAGCCAAGTGGAAATTTCGTGTAAAGAGAGTTTTCTCAAGGACACAACGTCGGACTGTTGCGC